ACCCCTCACTTGCCTCCCATCCCGTGTCCTGCTTGCAGCCCGCGCTCCCGGAGGTGCTGCTGCGGCACCCGGGCAGGCTCCTGGTCCGGGGTGCCTGTGCTGTGCCTGGTGTGAAGCTGCTCCCAGCAGCATGTGTGGTATGTGAGCTGTTGCTGCTGGGGCTGGCGTTCAGATAGTTTATTTGTCACTGTAGAGATGGAATAAACTTTTTCACCTAGCCCCCACGTGCCTTTCTTCTCTACAGAAGCAGAACAGGGTTCCTCCTCTCCCCCAGGACAGGGGGGTCCCGGGGGGAAGGCGCAGAGCAGCCCCACAGCTGCTGCGCTGCAAACAGCAGACTCATGCCGGGTCTATTTTTAGGGCAGGGCGCCTGCTCCCCGGGCTGTTTGTTGAAGGTTTGAGCAGAGCTCCAACGCCCTCCCCCGTGACCAGCCATCCAACCCCAGCTGCCACCTTGAGCGCTGAGCCTGTGCTGTTGGCACGCTGCTCACGATGAGGAAGCCTTTCCAGAGCAGTCTGGTGTAACACACACGCGGACAGTCTCATTAAGTTATTTATTAACCCAAACGAGGCACAGTGCTGCCTCCCCCGGCCCTGGGGGAAAGTACAACTGTCACCACTCCAAGTCCTGCAGAGTGCACAGGGGCTTTCAGGGGCTCCTGCAACCTTCCAGGGAGGTGCCTCCTCCTCCCCGGCCGGGGGCTGTGGGCAGAGCGCTGCATTCGCACAGTGAGATCGGACCTGGCCAGAGCCAAGAGCTACTGCTTGGAGCTTGTGGACGCTGGCTTACAGGGAAAAGCACTTTTGCAAGAAGAAAAAAACACTTTCCAGAAGCTAAGTCAAGCGAAGGGGGAAGAGGATCCTTCTGTCAACTTGCAGCAGAGAATCAGCCTCGAGGATTTTTGGAAGGCTCAGGAGGGAACAAGACACGTGCCTAGAGTTGGGAACCTTCCACTCACAGCAGAGACCCTTTTCAAGAAGCTAGATCTTCACAGAAACAGGAGCCCAAACCTTCACAGATGAGTCCTGAGCCTCCCACCCCTTCACAGGTAACTGAGCACTGAAGTGGCAGCACCAGGCTCAGACCTGAGCAAAAACACCCCGATTCTGGAGGGGAGGCTCTTACTGACGTGAAATCTAGTTCTTCCAAAAGGACTCTGTCCTAACACACAGACTGCTTCCACACTGCTGCTGGCCCTTTGAACCTTCAAAAGCCAGGAAGAGGCTACTGCCCGGCCACCAAACGCCTTCCTTTCCCCCCTCTTCTATTTCAACAGAAATTTACAAGACAGTTACAAGTGAGTGTAACAGCAGACAGACAGCCCTGCACAGTCACCCCGAGGGCTGAGGGCCAGGCTGCTGCTCTGCGTGTCAGTTCAACAGTTGTGCCACAGCCCTACGACAGGGAACAGGGTTTCTCCTCAGACTGCGTTAAAAATGGAAGTGGGTTTAAAACTACTGTTGCTGGACATGGTCTTAAGAAACCTGCAATTTAGCAACGGCACACCAGAGATGAAGAGGCAGTTGTGTTCACAGGGACGTGAACCAGCCGCCAGTGCCAGCCTGGACACAGGCAGGGGACCAGGAGGGCAGGCCAGAGCCACAGCGAGCGATGGAAACCCTGCTGCCTGGCTCGCTGTGACAGTTTTCCAGGACTTGTTTGTGTGGCAGCATCAGTAGCTACAACCGTGTCTTTTCTGTATCCTGAGAAAGGAACTCACTTCTAGTTGGGCTCCTGCTTCAGCTCCGGGTGGTCCTCCTCTTCCCTGGCGCTTGGTGCCGAGGAACAGCGGCTCGGTTTGGCAGGTAGGGCTAAGAGACTTCACAGTTTTGCTAAAAGCAGGGGAAGCCGGATCTAGCATCTGGGAGCCGCAGCGTTTAGTTTCCTTCCTCTCCTTTTTCCCCATGTGGGAGCCCAGCAGTCAAGAAGCAAAGATCTTGCGGGAGGCAGCCACATCCAGCTGCTTCAGCCCCATGGGCACGTTCTCCTTGTTTTCTGACCCAGGCTGCTGAGGCACCCTGCGGAAGTAGCAGGCTCGGCAGACAGAGTGGTACTTGTCTGCTCCTCCAATCACTTCAACCTGTCAAAAAAAATGGGTGAGTGGCTCTGCAGAGCTTCTTTCCCCTGAGGGGATCCCTCTAGACCAGCAGGACTGGCAAGATGAAGCTCCCAAAGTGCTTTCTGATCAAAGGGAACTCACCTCCCTCTCCGTTCCCAGCCTCTTTGTGTAGGAGGCCTCTCGGTAGCACTCCATGCAGACAGCGTTCAGCTTCACCACACTCTCAGCCAGCGGGACCAGGTTCAGGATGCTCCCGAAAGCCTGTGCCAAGACAGCAGGAGCGGTTCTGTTAGATGGGTTCTGTGAGGATACCAAAGCAGCTACTGGACTCAAGAGTGTTTTACCTTTCTCTGGAATGTCCCATCAAGAGCAGCAACAATGACGGTTTTCCCAGCATTGGCCATCTTCTCGCAGAACTCCACAATGTCTGGGAACTAGAGCAGGGACAGAAACAGCGTCAGGAGGAAGAAGGGGCATCACGACGCTGAGGATCCAGCAGCATTTGCCCAGACAACAGTACAGGGCACAAAGAAAATGAGAGCCATGTTGCCCATCTGTGGAATGAGCTCCAGCCCCACCACCCTCAGCCTGCAGTGACCACGGGAGGGTTCGCCTGTAGGAGCGGAGCCTAGCAGGATCAAACTGCCCCAGGGTATTCCTTCCCACCCCCTCCTACAGAGGATTCAGACCTTCTGCACAGGGTGCTCTGAAGAGACCAGACCCTCAGAACACCCCAGGGTCTGCCCTGGCCGTGCACTTACGAACTGTCCCTCATCGATGCCGATGACGGAAGAGCTCAGCGCCTCCTGGTACACGTCCCTGAGGAGGCTGGCGGGCAGGGCCTCCATGGTGCTCCTGCGGGAAAGGGAACAGGAGGGTGAGCGGGGTGGCCGGGCTCGCAGGGGTGGCTCCTCCTGCCCCGGGAACTCACTTGTCGTGCGTGGAGACACCGGAGGTGCTGTACCGCATGTCCTTGGAGTACTTCACCAGCAGGCACCGGTACTGTGCC